CAACCCTAACTATTCTATGATTCTATAACTAGGTGAACAAAGAGGAATTGTGGTGACACATGGTTTGCCAGGGTCTTGCAACTAGACAAATACTTTTCTCTGAATCATCCTTCATTAGAAAGCTCAGTTTAAAGAAGAAAAAAAAAACAAAAACAAGATAATTTCCCCTAAACAGCATTAACATTCCCAATCAGAGCAGTGAACAGTTCATTTTGCTCCCTGAACATGCTTATACAGGTGCAAAACTAAGTCACAAGAACAGCATTTAACTAACATTCCACAAAAGGCCTGCCAGCTAATACGTATTACCAGCAGTGATCTCCTTCACAACCCCTCACCTAGGGCAATCCAGGTAGACTCTGCAGGGTTTCAGGGACAGCTGTATCAACTTGGTAAAGAGCAACAAGCTTCCTGTGCAATCTCTCAAAAACCTGCTGGCTTGTCCCCACCAGGTTAGGGGCTGCCTCATTAGCCATTCTATGCACTAAAGGCAAGCCCATAGCATCTCAGAAATACAGATTTCTTGTCCTTTAACAGGTCAGCTTCCTGAACCCAGACAGAGCTTTACATTTAAGAGATGTGCATTTAAAGTTACCAAAAAAACAAGCTATTGCAGTAAGATTTCAGGGCAGGAGGGTATGACAGCAAATCAGTTTCAAAAAGGGAAAAAAAAAAAATAGTCACCACCTAAACATTACCTAGCTCCAAGAATGATTTTATCCTAAAAAGAAAGATAATCTATTAGTTGATCTGAGACACACGCAACAGTCTACATCCACACAGAGGCGTACTTACCAGTTTTCGAGTACTCTCTGCAATAGTCGACTTCTTCTGTGAAATTACTTCTTGCAGAGCTGTCTTTAAAAACAAAAACAAAAGGAAAAAAAAAACCAAAAAAACAAAAAAAACCCAAACGAAAACAAAAAACAAGAACAAGCTTTAAATAAGCATTTCTACAACTGTTGCCTCCTTTACCCTTCTATCATAGAACTGTCTACAACAGAAATCCCATTTATGGTTTCTTTGGAGTGCTGTAACTAGGCAGACAAAATTGCAGCCTATAAGATTTAAAAGGCAGGGAAGAAGAACATTGTCACAAAAGCCAGTGGGAGCACTAGGGATGCAGCCAGCAGTAGGTAATTAGGAACAGGGATAAGAGACAGAGTACTACTTCTTTCTATTCCATGCTGATCCTGACAGCATTATACACACACAACCTTCTTCACCAGAGGCACTGTTCTTGAGAAAAATCTAAGTTAATACAAGGTACCAAATAATACAGAAGTCACATGCTTAATATTAATAGTAGAGACATGCCTTAACATTAAACCAAAAAAAAAAAAAAAAAAAAAAACCCACACCCACCCACAAAACAGATAAACAAATAAACAAACACAAACCCAAACAAAACCCCCCAAAACAAAAAACAACACTAATCATAGAGGGGTTTTTTTTTATTTTATCTGAAGCAGATGAAGTTGCCTATGAGACCTTAGAGGCAAGTTGCCATTGCTGGAAAGATACCCCTGCAATCAACCCTACTCTTTTTGCCAGGCATTTCCTTGGATGACCCTTCTTAGGCCTCATTTCCTGCCATGGCTCACCTCCAGTTCCAATTCTTTAAATTCATGGGGAAAACAAAGGGAAACATACCCATGTTATTGTTCAGAAGTGTGACATGTATCTCCCAAGTCATTGCAATAATGCATTTCAAAAAGAAAGGGAATACAAAAAGTATATATTCAGGTCTACGCCCAATTTCCAGTATGTTTCACATTCCTTACAATGAAATGAAGGGTTGGTGCTAGGTGTTAGACAAGACATTCAGTTGCAGTGACCTTTGTTTTAAATAAGTCCCCTTTATCCTTTTTAGAAGTAAGGGGAGGGAAACAAAAATCAACAGAAATAAGTAACACTCATGATGAGAAGCCATAGCAGCACTTGAGAGAAATGTGTAACAAGATCATACTTGTTTTCGACGATAGTCTTGCCTTAGTAGTTGTTCCAGTTCTCGAATGTTATCTGTCAGTTGCTTGACCTCCGCTTGATGTTCAACTGGAACGGTGCTAAGCAAAAAAAGAAGATATTGGACAGTTTCAGCATAGTTATAGTCAGGTCAACAGAGCACAGTAGATAAAACAATCACTCTCTCCAAATAGTTTACAACCAGTAACTTTAGTAAACAGGTCAAGACAGTCTCCAACTAACACATTTTATTCTCCTTTGCTTGTAAAATTTTGTAGTTGAAACATAATCTGAAGAGCTATTTTGGCAAGAAGTGGTACATACTGTCCTGGGTTCAGCTGTAACAGTTGTTTTTCTCCTTTTTAGTAGCTGGTGCAGTGCTGTGTTTTCGACTTTAGTCTGACAACACACCAGTGTTTTTAGGTGTTGCTAAGTAATGTTTACTCCAACCAAGGACTTTTTCAGTCTCATGCTCTGCCAGTGAGGAGGGGCAGGGGTAGCCAGGAGGAAGCAGAGACAGGTCACCTGACCCAAACTAGCCAAAGGGGTATTCCATACCAGAGCACGTCATTTCCAGTATATAAACTGGGGGGGGAGTTACCTGGAAGGCCCAGATCGCTGCTCAGGTCGGGCTGGCGGGTAGTGAGCAATTGTATTGTGTATCACTTGCGTTTATTGTTTTCTTTTTCTTTTCCCCCTTTTAGTTTTATATAATCTCCCCTTGTTATTTCCCTTATTGTCATGATTATTGGTGATAATGGTATTAGTACTAGTTTTGTATTATACTTTAGTTACTGGACTGTTCTTATCTCAACCCATGTGATTTACATTCTTACAATTCTTGTCCCCATCCCTCTGGGAGCAGAGGGGAATAAAGGGGGGAGTGAGCAAGCAGCTGCGTAGTTCTGAGTTACCAGCTGGGCTTAAGCCACAACAAAGCATAACAGAAGACTATGTTTAAAGATCATGTTAAGCAAAGCACAAGAGAACAACCCTTTGACCAATTTTGTGGTGATTTTCATTTAGGAAATTTGCATATTACCTGCCATAGAAACAGTTTGTATTAGAGTAGACCTACAGCTAGCTAGAGAACCTCATGTCTAGCATATACCAAGAATAGCTATCAGAGAAAAAAACCCCAAAACTTTCAAAACAATGATTTATCTTAGAAACAAGCCATCTCTTAATCCTATTATCCACAAGCAAAAACAAAACTTAATGGTGCAAATACACAGGCAGAAGAACTAAGCAGCCCAGTTCCCTCAGCTGCTCCTCATAAGACTTGTTCTCTAGACCCTTCATCAGCTTTGTTGCCCTACTCCGGACCCGCTCCAGCACCTCAATGTCCCTCTTGTACTGAGGGGCCCAAAACTGAACACAGTATTTAAGACGCATCCCCACCAGTACAGGGGGACAATCACTTCCCTAGTCCTGTTGGCCACAGTTTCTGATACAAGCAGAGATGCTATTGGTCTTCTTGGCCAGCTGAACACACTGCCAGCTGCCAGCCAACACCCCCAGGTCCTTTTCCACCAGCCACTCTTCCCCAAGGCTGTAGCATTGCATGGGGTTGTTACGACCCAAGTACATGCATCAGCACTTAGCCTCATACAACCAGCCCGAGCCCACCTATCCAGCATGTCCAGATTGCATGAATTGAACACGAAAGTCACATAGTGCATCTCACAGTGCTTACTCCTCTTACTCACTTCAGTTTCTCCAGTTTTGCTGCTGCCTCCTGATTTGCAGTCTCCAGTTGTTGGTGTTTCTCCATAGCTGATTTCTGCAAATTAAATATTCAGAGAAATCTTTTTATTTTAGAGGAATATGGTTTCTCTCTGGGCTTCTATTAGAGCCCTGCTCATCATTGTTTCACATGAAATGCACCGTCTGTGAACTACTGAGATATTCAGAAGAGGAGCCACCTGCAACTCAGAGCACTGACTGTACAACTATCTTTTCTCAAAATAATGCAGGGTGTGAGACCTTTGCTTACCAGGCTAAACTATCAAATAAGTTACTGGAAAAAAACTTTAGGTAATAGCTTTAAGTAATAACTTAGTCATGGTCATACAGAAATTTTTACAACATTGACAAGCTCATCCACCCTTCTAAACCAACAAGTTTCCTTAGGAGCTTTGCAAAGGTTTTTCTTAAACTATTTACAATAGCTGTGTATGCTTATAGCATGCAATATATACAAATTTCATGTAGTATTAACCTGGTATCTTCCTGTATTACTTGGCTATATTTAAGATTCCAATGCATTACATAAACATACAGTAAAAAAAACACAGCCTTTATGCTCCCTTTATGGGAAAGGTTAACATTAATTATACTTAAGTCGGTATCTAGAGCAACATGGCACCCAATCTTACATAGTTCTGTTGTAACTCCAAGTAGACCTCACGTCGTGATTCTCTGAAATGTACGAAGTTGAGAATACCACTCAAGAAGCGAACTGTCCTCTTTGTTTCTGAAATAGGAATTGCAAGCCATCACTATGCTGTTTTTCACATGCAATACAACTGCTTAGGAAAAGTTGGAAAAACTTAACTCAAAGAGACAAATTATAAAACAACAAAATCCAAATTAGTTCTTCCCCTCCTCACCTTGCAAAGGTTTCACACACTTCACAAAAACTAGCATTGAACTATGAACTTACAATGTCTCAGCAATTCTATGCAAATTAATAAATAGAAACAGCACCTAAGGGAAAAACTATTAACATACAGCCTCCCATTAAAACAGAAGTCAGGGATAAGGAGTGTCAATCTTCAACTACAACTCTGAATACAGAACCTCACTGTGACTCTCAGGCTAGCTGAAGAGAGCAGTTTAAATTGCAGAAACTCTATTCCAACCAAGCTTTGTGGAATATGATTACAAAGGCCTAAGATATCTTAGACAAGACAGAGGCAAAAAAGTTCCTCAGGATAGCTTTTTCTGATTTGTTTGCGTTGCACCAGAATCACTACACTTGGGTATTGAAAGAGGTGAAGCAAAAATTCAATCGCTTCCTACATAAGCATCAGCATAATAAATCCTATAGCATTCCATAGCTGCAAGGATAATTTTAATTACCATCTATTCACAAGAGTAGTTGGAAGCCATGGACAGTTCCCCATACTAGATACCCATCTGGCAAATGAGAAAAAAGCACCTGGATATCAAGCAGCACCTAACACCCCAGGAAACACAAGGATTATAGTGCTCTTGCTTACTTGGGTTTAACACATCAGCAATTTGAAAATCATTAATCTGGCACACTGGAAGTAACCGCTCCCTGCAAGGAAAACAAAATACAACTTTATCTGCAATAACCATTATTCTGCTTTTGTGCTATATCTGTTTACTACAAAACAGATCTTGCCCCTCTCATCCCAGAGAATACATACAGCAAGCACAGCCAACAATAAGTCTCAGAAGAATGACACGGTAGGACTCCACACACAGAGAAGCATTAAAAATCTGTATATCATAGAATAGTTAGGGTTGGAAAGGACCTTAAAATCATCTAGTTCCAATCCCCCTGCCATGAGCAGGGACACCTCACCCCAGACCATGTCGCCCAAGGCTCTGTCCAACCTGGCCTTGAACACCTCCAGGGTTGGAGCATTCCCAGCTTCCTTGGGCAACCCATTCCAGTGCCTCACCACCCTCACGATAAAGAACTTCTTCCTTATATCTAATCTAAAGTACCCCTGTTTAAGTTTAAACCCATTACCCCTTGTCCTACCACTAGAGTCCCTAATGAAGAGTCCCTCCCCAACATCCTTATAGGCCCCCTTCAGATATCATCTCACAAAGATTTCTAGAAACAAAATACTTGCCTCTAGAACAACTTTTTACCTTAATTAGGAATTTCTACACTTAACTGCTAGTCAGTTCTCCCTTTACAACTGAAAGTAAGCTTAAAGTCTAACATTCACCTCATTCCAACACAGGATTCAGACTGCAAGTTTAAACAACAGGTACTTAAGATCCTTTTTCTAGGCATAATGATGACCCTCTAGCCATTCAAAGTATATCTATCTTGGCAAGGCTGGATTATTTAGTTAACACATTCATTTTGACAAGATAGTTGCCAGCTGAGAATTTTAGCCTATTAAATACTGCTGTCCCCTGTTCATCTGCAAATTTCACTTTGCTCAGAACCAACAAACAGTGGAACCACCATCAGCAAAAAGGCATAAAGCCCCACTCCTTTTGGTAAATTGGACCTTTATAAGGAATTGCAACAGAACAGATGCAGCATCTTCTACTTACATGTGAATATACAAATTACAAACAGGTAGAAAGCCTTCAAATATCTGTGGATACATTACGCCCATGTTGAGTGGCATCTAAAAAATAAAGAGTCAGTGCATAAGTAGAGAATACAAAAACAAAAACTACACAGGTCTGTTTCCAAAATATAAGATATTTCAAACAGGTTAAACACCAAGGATGGTCTTCCATCTCCATATGGAACACAAGTTGGAGGCTGAAGAATGCCATCAAGTTAATCAGCAGACTATTTTAAGTGCCAATTTTGGCTGGTCAAATTGTAAGATGATAATAATAACTAAGGCAGCAACATTACAAACTCTGGAATTCAATCAAAACCCTCCGTTTTATTTTGTTCAAAACTGGTGCAGAAGGACAATCTCAGCATTGCACACCTAACACCAAGAAGCTCTTTCTTTAAAGATCCTGAATTTCACACTCAACTGTTTTATGAAGAGATCAGAAGGCAGCAGCAGTACACTATCACCCTCTTCTGATATTTTAAGCCTCATAATACAGTATCCCAGCTAATAACTTGATTCTCTAGAGGTAATGACATCTTGTGTATACATGATCTTCCCTTTCAGCTCATTCAAAAATGGCGTAAGACATGACTATTTATCCTCACTTAGGAATCAGTTCTTGTTTAACAGAGACAGAAGATAAATTGTTAACCAACAAGGTATCAGTTAGCCTCCAGCTGCACTTCTTATTTTCCTCTCAGTTAATGGAAAAGTGGAGATGATAAAACATTAAAAGCAACATTTACTTTCCTTGCATGTCTAACACCTAGGCAGATTTCCTTCTCCAGCCACAACCAAAGGCAGATGCCTAAGGAGCAAGTATCTGGTATCTGTTTTCAAGGCCAGAGATGGTGTCCCTTCATAAGCTTGTCCAGCCCCTCCTGGACCTTACAGACATTTCCAGCAGCCACTTCACAGCTTAACTGCAGAAGGAGAGGGGTCTCCACAGAACCTGTCCTGACAGCCTACAGTGTGAGCTCCTCTTCATGCCCACTAGTTCCTGTAGTGGAAAAGGGAGTCTCCTTTCCATGAATAATAAATAAACAAACAAACAACCCACCCAGAGGCAGCACACCCACAAAACCACTATTTCTACAAGTATGTTGAGCTGAAGCCAACTTCTAGACCAGGAACGATGATCAAAGCCACTTCTCAGACACAATCAGCAGGGCACCAGCAACAGCCCACAGATGATGCTCCCAGGTTTGTTTACCTCTGCTAGATGACCCATGCCAAGATCCCACTCATGCAATTACAATATACAGAACAGTAAGCTACTTGCAATTTGCTGGTGAGAAGATGAAACTTCAACATTTAATTTGTTACATGCAATTATTTCTTTCCATTCACATTTCATTACACCTGCCACTGCAGACATACCATGTAAAAATGCTCCAGGCGGATTCCACATACTTTCTGCAGGACTCTCATGTAAATCATGTGTAAAACTTCGAGCTGCAAGAATACAAGACATGAATCAATATTCCATATGATTGATTATTCAGGGCTTCCAGACTGGGTCATAAAGACTGATTTCAGTGAGTCACCAAGACTAACAAGTTTTACTTTCCGATAGTTTGCAGTTCAAGCATTACTATCTCATAAATACAGTTATAAGAGACAGCAATTAGCCCAGACAACTACAGCCGTAACTACCACAGCTATGCATTGTTTTTCATTACATTGCTGCGCACTGAGCAGTTTTCAAAACAAGTGACATTAAAATCTGAAAAATGTCACAGCAAGTATAATCCCATTGCAAAAGTGCCTTTCATCACATTATTAAAATGAAGTGGCAAAAAATACCTACAAGCCAGCTATTCATTTACAGCACTAATCCATGATCAATTCAAATCAATTTTGCTTCTTAAAAAACAATCATCCCATCATTCCCTAACAAGCAGGGCCGGCCTCCTCCTTCAGCAGACACAAGCACTTACCTAACAGCACAAGGAATCACACAGTGTATCAATTCAGTTTGCTTTTTTTAAAAAGATTAGTTGATCACCTAATTCTTTTAAACCAAGTTGTTGACAAGCACTTACCTAACAGCACAAGGAATCACACAGTGTATCAATTCAGTTTGCTTTTTTTAAAAAGATTGGTTTAAAAGAATTAGGTGATCAACTAAGTTGTTGAAACTATGACACTATACTAAACAGTGGCTATTTTAACCTAATTTCCCCAGAACCAAGAAAGACAGACTGTTTATTTTCATGTATGTCTGTGTTCAAACCCTCACCCCCTTCCTGGTGAGGCTTGAGCAAGCTTCTCTCAAGATGAAGAGAGAAGAGCTCTAGGTTTACCCCTGTCACTCCTAGAAGACTAACCTCCCATATCGGAAAAACAAATCACCCCACTTAGAAGGCATTGCTGCACACATAAGATTATGCAAGCTGGGGAAACAATTACTTAATACCAAATTAAACAAGTATTTCATTATGTATAGAGACATAGTCATGGACAAGGCTATATAGTCCTCATAAGGACTCTCAAAATAGCAAAGGCATGGAACAAGAGGACTAGATGTTTTCTTTCAAATCAATGCGGGTCTTTATCTTTCTGCTAAGGCCTGAGAAATAGGTAAAGAGCTGCAAGAGAAAACAGCTAAAGGAACTTCTCAGGGTGGTAAATTCACCCTAACAAGAATGTGTAGTTAACTGGCAAAACTAAACAAGCATTCCAATGTCCTTAACTAACAGATTTCCATAATAAAGGTAAAATGAGTGGGGATGTTTCTCCCTAGTCGACTATCACAGTTCCCAGAGACCAAATTCACAGCACCTGCATCATGGCCTTATCTACCCAAATTACCATATGCAATGAGTAATAAGAATTGCGTGGGCATTTCATGGAATTATGATTAATGTGGACATAATACAGGTATATAAGCTGTAAACTGTCTCTTCTTGGTGTGCATGACAGGCAGAACAACCCCCCATGCACCTGGTACCATAACAAAGTAATGTCAGTTTTCTAACCTATCATTCTGGTTAGAGAGTTTATTTAGAATCATAGAATAGTTAGGGTTGGAAAGGACCTTAAGATCATCCCGTTCCAACCCCCCTGCCATGGGCAGGGACACCTCGCACTAGACCAGGTTGCTCCAAGCCCTGTCCAGCCTGGCCTTGGACACCGCCAGGGATGAAGCATTCACAACTTTCTTGGGCAACCCGTTACAGTGCCTCACCACCCTCACTGTAAAGAATTTTCTCTTTAAAGAAAAAAATTCCCGGATTTCGGTGACATATCCAAGAAACCAAACGACGTGCTAGAACACCCCTGGCGCTACGGCACGCAAAGGCCGTGGTGAAGGGAAGAAGCCGCCTGAGCGCGGCGAGGCTCCAAACACGGCTCCCTCTGCTACTCCCGCCCCGCTACCGCAGACCTCAGCCTCCTCCAAACCCTCTCACGCACCTTGGGGTTGCCGAACACGTCACCTTTGACCAGGTTCCGGGCCTCGGCACCCGTTAGGATGAGGCCGCGGAGGTAAGCGATGATATCGTCGGGGCTGTATTGGGGGAAGGTGAGCGCTTCCATCCCGGCGCCGAACCGTCACCCCACCGCTAACC